ACAACGTTGGAGAAACGTGAACATTTTATTTGTACTGTATAATCTGCAGATTCTGACAGAAATCTGCAGCTATCCTTTGAAGCACCGCTCCTCTCTTAAACAGCAGTAAGGATAATTATTAGGCTATTTACATTATTATGTAATGTAATTATTATGTATGCAAAAATTGGAAACGTAAAGTCCAAAGTCTTTATATTAAGGGCCATCAGTCAAACAATACTGTTTGCTTTGGGTCTAAACAGAGCGTGTTGTGTGTGACGTCTTCTTTTGCGCATGCGCCGATTTGAGCGTTCACACTAGAGCACGTTTGCTGTCGCATTTTATTTGTAGTGTGAACGAGCAGACAAAAAAATCGGATTTGATCAAAAAATCGGAATTGAGCATTAAGACCTGCAGTGTGAACGTAGCCTAAGACAGTGTGAAGGGTCAAAAAAAGCTCTAGCTGCTACACATTAGCGTGTTAGCATTGTCAGTGTGCGCATGTTAGCATAAACTAGCAAACACGAAGGCAACTACGAGCATGACTGCAGACTCTTAGTATTGCTTTTTAAGCTGCATAACATATAGCATATAAAAGCTAGTTAAAGATCTTGAAATGGACATGTGTTTCCTTGAGAAATAAAATGATTATTGTCTCATCTTTCAATAATAAAGTCTTCTAAAGGAGAAGTTCCTGTGGGGGTTATGAGAAAAGGTCCACAAAGTTGCAGTGACTTTACTTTTATTCATTTTTGTTTTTGCATCTTCTTTGCTGACGTTCTCCCTCTCTGTGTTTCAGGTGTGAGAGCACAGTACAGCTCCAGAGAGTCCCCAACACTGACAGTTTCTGTCTGATCCTCCCTCCCAATCTGAAGTCAGCCATCGCTGCTGTGACATACATGGCCGAGCAGCTGAAGAAGCAGGACACGGATGACTCGGTGAGTGTCAAGCAGCTTGTTATTCACTCTGCCTACAGTTCCTGAGTACAGACTGTTCCAGACATGCCCTAGCGATGTTCTTGTGTCATTACCTACTTACGGTACATTGCTGACTCAGTTTTGTGTCTGCGTGTGTGCGTTCTCTGCAGCTGACAGGAGACTGGCAGTTCATCGCCCTGGTGGTGGACCGTCTCTTCTTGTGGTTGTTTGTCATCATCACCACCCTGGGAACTCTGGCTATGTTCCTGGATGCCAGTTTCAATTACACACCTGACAACCCCTTCCCATAGTGGATTCCATATGCACAGCAGCTGGAGTTTGATTCATTGTTGCCACTTTACTTCTACTTCTTGTTGGTGCTTTCCGAGATCCCCAGATCTGACTTTCCATAATATCTATTCCATAGGTGTGTGGTCAGCCTCTGAAATGCTTTGTAATTAACTTAACAAGTAGAAGCATGCCTGTGATTTCATACCACAGAAATCGTGTAAAACAGTGATTTCTCTAAATGATCCAAATAACTATATAACAATGTGTGATCGTTTTTTTCATTTTTTTAGTCTAACACTTGAAATACTTGTTTGTTTGGTTTTTTGTAACACTCATGTTTAATGTAATTTTAAATACAGTAGTTAGTTGACTCTGCCCTTTGACATGTAACTGTGGTCAGATTCTGGGACTGTAATGTTGAACTTTTGGCAGTAGAGGGCAGTGACATAATGTTCAAAGATAGAGTCACTGCTGAGGACAGAAAGGTATTTTTAAAGAGGCGTGTTTTTGCTTATGCCTTTGCATGTATAATTTAAGAATATTTAATTTTTAACTACAGCTAAATATTAAGATATATATGTGCTCTGTACTTATGAATGGTGCAAACTATGCTTTTAACACAGTGCAATTTTCCTAAAACCCAAATAAGTACACTTGACTCTGTAGTGTTTAAATAATTTCTCCAGCATTAATGATCATTTCTGTATTTTTATTTACCTTAACCAGAAATGTATGACTAGTTTATATTGGTGAAGAGAAAGAGTATCACTTTAATACTTTTAATATTCTAAAGGTTCATAAGATTAGATAAAAAAGGAAAACATATTTATAGAAAATACAGAATGCTCAGTTTATTATGTTCTCTGTGGAAGGAAGGGAGGAAGGGTTAGATACAACGAGTTTAACTATTTTATCATATTTCTTTAGCCCTAATCCGAATCACTGGGGTCCATACACCCCAAACCCTACAGGTATATTTTTGTAAAAACTTGTTTTTTTCTATCATTCCGATTTTTATGACTTTGTCAGTGCCGTGAAATCGTTGTTTTCTATTCCTGCTTTGCTTAGTGCTTTTTACAAATACAAATGTTTTGAGGTGCCAGGGGACCCCAGTTGAAAGCACCCAATTCCACCTCTGCAGTTTTAATAAACGGAAGTATTTGTTTACTTAATATTTGTCATAGTCTCTAAATTAACACACCGTGTCCAGGGGACTAGGTGCACACTGACAGTCGTTTTTAAAAAAAGAAAGACTTCATTGCTGACTTCATTACCTGGATGGGAAGTGGGAGACAATGCTGGATCTACTGTACCTGTGAGAGCTGCAGCATGCCTCGGTCATACCACACATGAAAAGGAGAGCAGATACTGCTACATTGCATGTTTACTCTGAGCAGCAATGACCTTTCTAGGAGTTAGGAAACCTCCACCTGCTGACTGACAAGTACTCTGTTGGAAGATCTAGTTAACCAAAGAGTTTCCTTTGCCCCTGATTCACAGACAGGAAGGTTGAAACTATTTGCTCCTTTTTTCATTGCTAGCATAGCATGCGGAAAATACTACAACTGCCCATTCCGTCTGGCTAGCTTTAGTCTAATTAGGTTGTTTCTTGTCCCTTTACAGCCACAGAAAATAAAAACTCTGTTCATAATATTTGCAGACAAATGATGTGGTTCCGTTGGCTTTGTCAAGTCATGACTTCTAGCTTGCACTGGGGCAGTGGGCGAGGGTTAGGAGTTTGGTCGTTTGGGACTCAGAGTAGAGTAGAGCCACTTCTACTCCACATAGAAAGGAGCCAGTTGAGGTGGTATGGCCATCTGCACAGGATGCCTCCTGGGTGAGATGTTTTGGCCATGTCCCAGGAGGTGGTGAGACAGCTCCAGGACAGACCCAGGACCAAGATTGCATATGTGCGCTGCCTGGTGTTTATTTTGCTAATTTCTGTGGTTATTTCAGTTATTTTATATTGGGGTCAAAATTACCTCGACTGGTTCATCATATAAATCACAAACATATTTAAAATGACAGAAAACCACAGAAGTGGTAACATTGCCTGATAACAAGCTGCAAGTTGCATTAAATATATTTTCATTTTGCATAATGGGCAAAACTAATGACATTAGTTGCATTATCAATGATGCTTTGGGAAGAAATAAGTTTTGCTTTTGTTATTATTTTGCTTCTCACAGCAAACGCCCCCATGGACCCCACACATACATACATATATATGACAGATGGATGAGGGTTAAACCAACAACTAATGATTATTGTTGAGATAATGTTAGTTAAGCAGTTTTCCAATACATGTCTCCTTAGAAACGTCCTACTAATTCAGTTTTGGACAGATTGTTTGATAATCAAGTTTTAGTTACTTTCAAGTTGAACTACTGTAATCATATTCAATAAGAATGTGCCTTTAAAAAAACCTTTTAAAACTGAGACTCATCTCCACAGTCAACAAGACATATTCTGTAAAGGAATAAAGTGAAGTGTAGAGGCTATAAACATGACTTGAGTATAGAGTTAGTTCCACTTTAACAGGAGCGTTTGCTCAGTCCACAGTCCCAACTCAGCATAGCTTTTTTTGTTGTTGTACTGGTGCCAATATGACCTCAACTAAAAATATGTTAGAGTCGGTTTTAAATTCATGGTCGTGCTGACTAAGATTTGGCAGTTGAGAAGGTTTTAGCCTGTTGGATTCAGTTTTAGTATCAGAATGCCCTTCAGTTAACTTCTCCTGAAATTTGTTGTTGTATATTTGTAGTAATAAAATAAAGGCAAAACCACTGGAAACACAGCTTACAGTTTTCATATAGCAGTGTGTACTTTTAGAAAATCAGCACATTCTGGATCTTGCAAGTACAGTTTAAAGACAAACTAATCTAGCTTTCTAATCATTCAATTGTCATTCATTGTCAAGAACTTTTCCAAACTTTAGTGCACACATTACACAGTTAACAGTGACCACGTATGTGTTCTACCTAAAATGCACAGGAGAGATGTAAAACTGAAAAAAGGATGCCCCTCTTCTTCAAATCCTCCTGCTGATAAGGCTCTGTGCATCCTGCAGATAACTGTCTGAAAATGTTTCTGTTAAGAATGCAGCACTTGCCAAAGCTCCTAAGAGAAAACAGTGTCTCTTTCATGTCGTGCTACCTACAAGGGAAGACAAAATAGAAGTCCACAAGACCAAGAACACAATCTATTTGTCCTGTCCTGCTGTTGCACAAAAGCCGAGACTTCTTGTATAAGGAAACTGAAGGTGGAGAAGAGAGGGGACATGTAGAGACAGGCGCCATCCCCTCATTTATGCACTGAGAGCCTTTCAGGGAAAAGCTGTGGGCCCACTGTGTTTTATTGCTAATGCCTCAGTGACTTCCAAGGGCACTTAGAGTTTAATCATGGGATTTGCACTCCACTTGCTCACTTCAGACCCAAGCAAGGCCTCAGTAACAGGAGGGAGGACCCCTGAGAGAATGTTGTTAGTGCCCCTTGTTGGTCTGATTTAGCTGTTTTCTTCTTCACCTCCTATTGAGCTTTGAGCAACGGCTAACCCGGCAAGACGAATGTGTGTTTACGCTTTTAAAAAAAGAAAGTAGTAAAAGAGAAAGGAGGAGATAGAGAAGAGGGGTGGAAAGAGCAATGTTCTTCCTTTTATTTTTTGTTCTTTGCAGTCCAAGACCTGGGTGGAAAAGCAGCCAAGAGGACATCATATAAATCAGGTTACCAGTAGCAACAGCACTGCTAGTGCTGAGCCCCTAACCGTCTTCCCGCTCATCTTCCTCTTCCACGTATCACCCAGCGCTCACCTTTTCAGATGTTTGTCTTCCACCCCTAAAAACCTCCTGCCTCATCCTCCTCATCATCATCAGATTCTACTGTATAGAAGAGAGAAAAAGAGAGATTCTTTATGTGTTCATTCCTCCCCAGCAACAGTGAAGCATTTGGTGGTCTTAACAGCAGAGCCCTGAGGCCAGGATACAGTAGAGAAGAAAAGAGTTATGAGGTGGTTTAAAGTGGGCAGAAAGGGCGAGAACGTGACAAAATGTAAAGTTCAGAGGAAGGCCGAGTAAAGGGGGTAACAGAGCTGTGAGAGCAATCTGAAAAGCCTCATTACATCTTAAATAGGTAATCCAGCCAGTAGGTGAGCACATTCCCATTAACCTGGCAGTGGGAATAACTTCCTCCAGGCTTATGGGTTATTACTTCCTTTCCCTTTACTGTAGGGCTATTGTTTATCCCCAGCTTGATGTCATACACACTGCAGTGCTGACCCTGACATCTGACCCGGACAATACGTGCTATTGTCTCTTGGTTTCTGTCCATTCACAAAAGGAAGTGGCTAAAACTGGTATGTTAAGTGGACCTCAGAGAATAAATATATTATGATATATTATTAAGAACCCCCATGAAAAGTTTTTTGAAATTTAATAAATGTACATTTGTGACATTATTTGAGTCCAAAGTTTGGATTGGCCATTGTTGGAAGTAATTAAAAGGCCAGTTTTTAATGTTTTTTATACGTATGATTTTTTCATTACTTATTATAATTGTATTAGTAATTATCTTTAACATGTGAGGCTACAAAAGTCCTGAGAAGTTCTCCAAACATGAAGTGCATGCTCTTCTGCTAACTTTTCTGATTAGATATTCTTCTGTTTCGATGACTTTTCCTTTTTTGTATGAAACTGCCCCTTGTGGACTTTCTTCTTTTTATATTCTTAACCTACTGGTTATTCCTCCTTTTCTTTCTTTCTTTTTTAGCTTCTTTTCAATTCCTGACCTCATTAGCGTGGTGTTGAACACATTAGTTTAACAAGTAAAAGGTTTGATTCCAGCAGGAAACACAAATCCCTTTGGGTCTGTGTCAGTGAGGACATCTGGGGCAATCATGTACAGCTACCTGCTGTGATAAGCTTCTATCTCACTGTAAGTAGGAAAGAAGTTAATTTGGAAGTCAAAGCTGTGGATGGAGAATCGCGTAAACACGATTAAAAATCAAAGGGAAGTCATGTAAATTTAAGGAAAATACTTAATTTTCAGCTTTGTGGTGATATGAGTTGTGATTAAACGTTTGGGTGAGCCACATGTCAACGCAGACTGCAGTGAATTGAAGTTTAGGATTTGCAGTTCTTGCCCTTTTTAGATAAGATAAGATAAGATAACCTAAAACACTAGAATAGGATAAGATAACAAGAATAAGATACTATATATATACTATATATAGAATAAAATACAAAGTTGTCAAAAAAAAAAAGAGAATTGCACTTAGTGTTATTGCACAAGTGTGGATCTGTGTGTTTGGTCAGCTGTGAAGTCCTTGTTGTGGGGTCTGACAGCAGTAAGGAAAGGCCTGATAAATACAGCGAGATGGGAAATGCTCATCAATAAAGAAACATAATTTTCTCTCGTCATTCAGACTAAGGTCACACATTTCTCAAGGCTTCCTTTTTTCAGACATAGTAGATGCCGCTATGAAGCTTTAATTGGTTTGCTGAGTGAGAGCAAGGTTCCTCTTTGGGTATGTTTTGGTACTTCTTGCATGCACTGCATACTTCTGTAAAGAATTTACTTAAAACATTGTTTTAAATAAAGCAAGGCCAAGACACCTGCAGGTACAACTGCTACACAACGGTACATTTAACTCTTACAGTTAAACTTACTATAGGTTTGAGTCATATCATCAAATTGTGTCTCCAACATACACCTGCACACACTGGCATACATAAGCAGAAAGAGCACATTCAGCAGCCTGTCACATATTTATTCCTGTTTTGATTAATAACTTTCTTAGAAAATGTTCAACAGTGTTTTTTATGTTATTTGACGCTTCAATATGCCCTTTCACTCTCATACGTTACCACAGAAAAACTTTTGAGAAGTTAGGTTTAAAAGAACAAAAAAACAAAACAAAACTAACGTTGACTTCAGACTACTCATCCTGAGTGATGGCAGCTGAACAGCGCAGGAATTCACAGAGACGAATTGTCGGGGGGAAAGACGACCTGTGGCTTTGCTGGAAGCGGTGGGGGCATTTCCCAGCAGAGCACAGAAAACTGCGACTCCATGCATCAGCGGGCATGATAATTACACACCCACTTCAATCATCACCAGCAACTTAGATGCCCATCCCCAACTAAAGACCCCCGCCACACACTTCTACACGGACACGGACACTACCTGCGACTTTTGCATCATTTCCTGACTAATAAGAACAGACACTTTAGAAGTTCTGTAACTCGAGCAAAGTGAAACGAACACCGGATCCTGTTAGAGCTTCATTAAGAGCATGGCCAACTCCGGGATCCAGCTGCTGGGATTTTTCCTATCATTAATAGGTATTGTCGGACTGATCATCGGGACTATCCTGCCGCAATGGAAGATGTCCGCGTACATCGGAGACAACATCATCACAGCTGTAGCCATGTACCAGGGACTCTGGATGTCCTGCGCTTTCCAAAGTACCGGGCAGCTCCAGTGTAAAATCTACGACTCCATCCTTCAGCTCGACAGTAAGTGGCGCATTTTTACCCCCTTGGTTTAAAAAACCACTGAACAGGTTTAGTTCCTGCAGGTGCAACCTGCTCATCACAAATCATTATTAAGTAGTCCTTGTTTATTGTCTTGTCTAGTCACCATTTTATATGGAAAGTTTAAAAAAGAGGAAAATGACTTTAACTTTTAAAAGGAAACAACACACTGGCAGGAAAACCTTTTTTAACCACATGCCATTTGCTCCAGGAATGAACCTGAGCCCTGCGTCACCTTGTTAGAACACATGTGGTCAAACTCATGGCTGGAGGGCCAAATCCAGCCAGCTGCTAATTTTAAGCAAATCTTCCAGCTGGTTTCGGTCACAAAACAATAAATTTAAAGGTTTTTCACACTGAAAGGCATGCGCTATGATACATGTAAAATACATAATCTAATTTCTATTTTATTTTTGAATATAGTTGTCATATCAAGTTTTTGTATTCACATGTTGACTTTAATGTCGAATAAATGGATGTGACTCCAATTGTATACAAGAAGGATGTTAATTACTGATATAATGAGGGGATTTTTTTATTTATTTATTTATTTATTACAGTTATGAATTACATTTTTAATTCCCAGCCTGTCTCTTTGTGAAACTGAGTCCGACACCCCAGCTGTAGAATATCACGTATGGTGCAAACAGTGCAGAAGTGGCTGCTGCCAAAATAATCTCTTTCATACCTCAACTGTAGCTTCACAAGAACAAGTACAGAAAAAAATGATTTAAATACTCGATATCTTCAAACTCACAGGAAGAGCCGTGACCTCTGTTTGTAAGCTGGCTACAAAAAGAAAAAACAAGCAAAAAACTGACAGACAGTGCTGCTTCTTTACTGATGATGATGAAAAATGTAAACTTTTTCACATCTGCTGTTATAGTTAGTACAGGACACATTCTTAAATGAAGGATAACGCACTGTGGGTACTAAAGCTGTGCGTGATGGGTGTGTGTTGGCCCACTTCAGTGGTTTGTTGTAATGCTGTCATGCTGTATTAGCTGAAATAATGATGGCCTCAGGCTGTTCTCTGTATCTGTCTCTGAATCGGTTTTTGAGGTCGCACCCCCCCCCCCCCAAAAAAGAAAAACAACAACAACAAAACAACAACAAAACAACAACAACAAAAAAGAAAGAAAGAGAAAGAAAAATGGTTTGTCTAATTATACCAACACTGAGAAAAGTGGCCTGAATTGGTTTACTAAAGCGTAAAGCGCTATACAAATACAGGCCATTTACCATTTTTACCATTTACTATGTAATTAAAATGTTATTTCTAAGACATCTTTCAGGATAAACACCCTACACAATAAAATTCCAGAGGATAAATTCTCTGATTCTTATATAGCACTTTTCTACTCTCCTGGAGCACTCAGTGTTCACTCATTCACTGTTTTCTGTGCTCTTATGTGCATAGAAAACACATGTGCATCTTATGTGAACACTGTGACAGAGAACAACTTGGGGTTAGCGGCCTTCACTGGCATGCAGGCTTGGAGAGTCAGGGATCAAACCATGAACCTTCCAATCAGCAGAGCACCTGCTCTACCTCCCTCCTGAGCTACAGCCACCCACCGCAACCTATAAGATAAAAACAGAGCTAACCAAATGCATAATGGCCTTATACAAAATCTATCATTGTACATGGTGTATAAAAGGTATACAACTTTATTTATTATGAGATAATTTAGCTGTTATTTTTTTTGAGAACAAGAAAAGCTACAGTGTCCTACAAGCGTCCCATTGTAGAGTGTAATCACACGGCCAAACATTATTAGCATATGTGAAACAGCAGACACTCCAAGCCAGGATACAGTGTATCCTTCTCTGCTCTCATTTTACTGTATAATGACCCTGTTGCTTGGCATTTCCCACTGATTTATATTCTGTTTCTGCATCCTCCTCTCCCCTGCCTCTCTCCACCCATCACTCCCTCACTGCAAAAGGTTTTGTTTGTTTGGGCAGAGCAGGGATGGCCTAGACTGGCACAGACTGGTTCTACCGTAGGTGGACAGGGGGGAGAGGCAAAAGGGGTCTCACCCTGTGATAGGTTTATAGTGTGTGTGTGTGTGTGTGTTGGGGGGGGGGGCACTGACAGATGAGAATCATGACAGCAATGTTTCCACGGGCCTCCTCAAAGGGAAGACATTCGAGGGTGTAAGATGTGTTCCTTCATACTGTTTATGTGTGCTCATGTGTATCCCATGGTTTCCCTTCCAGGAAAAGCTCACATTAAAATGTCTTCACAGGCTAATGCAAATGTAATTCACAACCTGGACAGCCACATAAAGCCTCCTTGATATGTTGGAGGCTGTTTGTTAGTCTTTATTATGTTCTGTTTTGTGACTCCTCATTTGCACTTTAACAACAGGATTATTATAAATGGTCTCATTTTAGTTTAGTTTTTCTTTTTTAGACATTACTGTATGAAACAAAACAAATTATTTTCTTAAAATGCACACCCACATTCCACAACACAAAAGGTCATTTATTCTCAGGCTCCCAACAACACACTGTTCTGTTACATTTCCTCTGCTTCATCGTTTTCTGTTGCCTTTCTTTCTCTTCCTCTGCTCCAGGTTCGCTCCAGGCCACACGTGCCCTGATGATAGTTGGCATCATTGTTTCCATTGCAGGTCTGGGTGTAGCCTGCATGGGAATGAAGTGCACCACCTGTGGAGGAAGTGACAGACTACGCAAGGCCCGCATTGCCATGACAGGAGGCATCATCCTGTTAGTGGGAGGTGAGGGAGCTTACCAAAGAACCTAATTTGGCAAAGACCAGTGAATAGAATAGAACAGAATAGAATTCAACTTTATTGTCATTGCACATGTCACAAGTACAAGGCAACAAAATGCAGTTTGCATCCATCCAGAAGTGTTTTAGCCATGATATAGATATATTACAAAATATATATTAGCAATAATATAATAATATAGGTATATAGATATATATGACTGATTGGTGTAAGATTTAAACTGTCAAAATGTTATATCATCCAAAGGTTTTCACATAGGGTCATGTATGGTAATGCAATGATGTTGTTCAGGCTAATTTAGCTTTGAAAAATATCTTGTTACATTATAAGATTACCTCCAATAAAAAGTAATCTGTCATGCTACAGCATTACCTGATGAGAAAAATAAATCTTCAGAGTACTTTGGCATTACCAATAATGCAGACGACTTGCTAATTTTATTCCTTAAACCTTTATCTTAAAAGCTTGCTGTTGTGTTTTCTGAGCTTTAGCACATGTGTCAGTTATTAAAGTTATTTACAGAACCTTGTGAAACACATCTGATCAGGAAAAAGTGTACTTTTTACAACGTTTAAATATTTTTAACGTAGAGTCTTTACCATATTAACTATCTTGGTTTAGCCAGTTAGCATGCTAATATTTGTGAAGAGCATGCTAATATTCGTGAAGACAGTTGTTGGATATTTGGTGAATGTGTGGTGAATTAGCTTTGAATTAGCTTTCCAGATAATGTACTGCAGCTTTGCTAGCTACCATATGAGACGGCTAATTGTAAAATAGCCCGTTTAAACCCAGACGTTTGTTTTTGCACCAAGAAATGAATGACACTATTATAGTTAATGTTCAGCGAAAAACTACATTTTAACATTTACCTTTCCATCCATGTCCTGGTTGACGTGAAGCATTACAAATAGTAGATATGTTACAATAACTCAAAGCAACACTCAACATGAGCTTGCTGGAAGAACATGCTAATATTGTTGTCTTCCTTTCCAAATATATTTAAAAGGGATGATTGTCACTGATTTGTGTTTGTAAGTATTTCATCACTATATTGTATAAAACATACACATTCAGTGTAATAGCTTCCTGTGATCCAATAAATAATGGAATCCATTTATGTAATTCCATCAAAGCACAATTGCCTAGATGTCCTGCACATCATACAGTAGGTGGGAGGAGGTTTGATCCCCACTCCAAAAAGCTTTCTACCCACTGATCTTCTCTGGCCCTCCAGAGGTCATTAGAATGAATGAATCCTGGCACTGAATCTAAGATCAGAGCTCTAACTGGCTCTGAAGAGAACAGAAACACTAAAAGCTAATTGTTCTGGAGTCAATAGCTAGCCGCCTGGTGACTGTATAAAGGGAATAAAAGCCTGGCTGGGCTTTCTCTGGCTTTGACGATGTGTTGATCGACTTTTGATCTTGCAGGGCTGTGTGCTATCGTAGCGTGCTCCTGGTTTGCTCACAATGTCATCAGGGCTTTCTATAATCCCTACACTCCAGTCAACACCAAGTAAGCAATCTAAAAGCACCCATTTCTTCTTTTTTTCTGTTTTACTGTTATTATGATTTATGTATTATTTATGTATTATTATGCATAAAAATTGTTTTTCCTTTAGTACTGCAGCTAAAACTGGTGTGAGAGAACAGTGCATTTTATTCTTTTACAGCAGTGATAAGCTAGTTATGTGACATAAAAATCTGGATGTCATCTGATCAGCTCAAACTAAATCTGTGTTTATGCTACTGGGTGAATGAGGCTCATAGTAGAAAAGGTTTTTTTTTTTAAATCTCTCACTCCGGCTTATAGAGCTCTGGGGACAGTCCATGTCTATTATCCCTTAAAAAAAAACCTTAAAAACGCCAATCTTGTGATTTAATGCTATTTTCATACTATATGTTCTTTCTCTTACTCTCTTTGCATTGATGCACTACTTGCTTTTGAAACATAACAACTGCATAAGTGACACCAGTGCAGGTTACTTTATTAACACATCAGTTTTGCCTTTGTTCGTAATATTGAAGCTGAGGATTGGGGTTGCCTTGTCTTTCCAGGTTTGAGTTTGGTGCGGCCATCTTCATCGCGTGGGGCGGTTCTCTCCTAGATGTCTTAGGTGGGGCCATGTTGGCTGCTTCTTGTCCAAGGAAGAAGCAAGTGTCCAAGTACCCAGCCATCGGCAGTACCCGCTCAGGCCCTCCAAGCAGCACTAAGGAATATGTCTGAGATTCCCCAACCATGTAGCCAGGAACTTTAAAAGAAGCTGAGGAGAATGATCCTCTTCAGCATCAGCGAGGCGCAAAACCGAAGATGTATGGATGATTGTGAATCACATGGAGGCAGGAAGTACTGAAAAAAGACTTTCTTTACTTTGTGTTCAGGCCTTTGATGACCCTTTGATTATTAAGCAGCACCCTCAATTGTTTAATGATGGATGTCTCTCACCCAATCCATACATTCCTCCATTGTTTACAAGTAGTCTTCACAAATACATTATAATTGGATGTCCTGACTTAATAGACAAACCCTCTTGGGCTAGCTTTTGAATTGCAGCCTAAATGGTGGGTTATAGCCAATACTTGCGCCCTCATGTTAGAACCAGCATTTATTAGCATTTGCCATGTAATTGAAAGTAATCAATTACAGTTTGGTGAGTAGTCTGCAAGTCAACACGCTGTCCAACACAGGAACACGGTGACAATACAGCATTTTATATCAACTGTTAGTACCAAAATAGATGTCACAATGAGCAGGGTGTGATTTCACACACTGCGATGACACAGGCCATTTGCTACAGGACTCCCCACAGCTTTTCATACCAGCATGTTACAAAGCCTGTTCAGATATAAAATATCTGATGTTGTAGTCATCACGCCATTATTGCTCTATTGGCCTTTCTATCAGCCACTGAGGTTAAACTGCAACTATTTATTTTGTCAACTGTAGGTCTTTACTCGTGTAGATTTGCACGATTGTTAGTTCACTGTAGCTTCTTGTAGCTTTCACAATTTAGTGTTTTTTAAATGTTCTGAACAGTTGGTTCTATGTTTGTAAATGCCATAGGTTTATATACTTTTAGCAGATAACAGCACCATGGAAAATATATGAAAGAATATTTTTAACATGTCCATCAGTACTTAAATAATAAAGATATTGCAACATTGTTAACTGTGTCGTGGTCCATCAAACTGGTTATATGGTTGTTTTCTCCAGTGCAGTAGCACAGTAACATTTCTACTAACAGTCTTTTCATAGATTTTGCACTTTCTGTTTCATTTGAACTAGTAAAAGTAACCTTTAGGGGACATTTCATGAATGTTTTTGAAGCCATTCATAACATTCATCAAAGCTTATGTTGTGTAAAACCTTTAGAGAACCTTCATGGAAGACTGGATAATGGTTCTTTGAAGTGTGTTTGCAGCTTTTAAAAAAAATCTGCTAGGATTCTCAGAACCTTTAGGGAACCCTGAAGCTTCTCTGAATGTGGTCATTTTCAACTTTTAAAGAACCTTAAAGGAACATTTTATAAAACACATTTAAGTGGAACCTTTAAATAACCTTCAGGGAGCAGTTTATTAGTAATGAACTAGTCGATACTAAATGTTAGTAACTTTATCAGAGTTCTTAATGCTTTAAGTATGTTGTTTAGAGTCTTAATTTACCCCTACAGACACCTAATTGATGAAAACATTTAGAGTGATGTTATGCGAGTTACTGTATGCTTCCTTTGAGCTTGAAGTAGTCTGGCTATTCTCCTATGAACTCTGACATCTACAAGGTATTGTCACCCAAAGAACTGTTGCTCACTCTTCTTTGGCCATTCTCTGTAAACCATAGAGATGGTTGTGTTAAAATGCCAGCAGATCAGCAGTTTCTGAAATATTCAGACCAGCCTGTCTGGCACCAACAACCAACCCACATTCAAAGTCACTTAAATCACCTTTCTTCTCCGTTTTGATGCTCGGTTTGAACTTCAGCAGGTCATCTTGATCACGTCTACATGCTGTTGAGCAGGTGTACCTAATAAAGTGGCTGCAAGTTTATCTGCGTGATAAAAGGAGTTCAGAGTCAGGTGAACCACAGAAACACAGAGATTCCACAAAGATTCATGTTTTATTTCCCAGGATGCTTTATGAAAAGTTATTTCCATGCAAAGATCAAAACAACTATCTTTGAGTCAGAGAGCAAGCTGTGAGGTGCAGTGCTCCCATGACGCCAACAAATTAAGTAACGAGCCAGCAAAAAACAGGAACATGACATCAACATGAGCCGCCTTTTATAGACAACACCATCTGAACCCGAGAGAGCCACTGCCAGCTTAAAAAAAATCCAAAGATTGTCTCTGCAGCGAGGGTGCTCGTTTCTGTGACCTCACACTGTAATTATAAAGTCTGACACAATAGTTCACCTAAACCTGAAAGACATTACCACACCACGTGGGTGTAGTTCACAAAGCAGATTAGAGCTTTTTATAAATAAACATAAATACAATTAAGTTTGAGCTTTACACGTCGGCATGCCAATCAGAGTCAATTTCTTTAAGCATCAATCTGATGTAGCATCAGGAATCATTTGGCAATTTCATCAAAGTCATTTACTGTACACATTTTGTTTTTATTGTCCTCACAGTCATGTAGCCAAACTGGGAAAGCCTGCATTAGGAAACACACACAAAGCTCTATGAAGCCGTTGTTGTTTACTGCCGAGTCAGCAGCTCAAAACCACCAATGAGCTCAGGGAAACGCTGACTCTACCAGATCTGAAGAGCAAAACGGTGGTTTGGTTTATCAAAGTCTACTACGTAGCCCTTAAATAACAGGATGCCAGTCACAGGTTTTGATGCTTCATGCATAGAATTCTGCAACATGTCACTGCACATAACAGGCATTCCCACAAAGTGCACCATTTGGAAACATAATAAAAATCCCACAGACTGAAGCGTTACCTGCTCAGAAACAAGTAAAAAAACAAAACCAAACAGATGCCGTAACATCACAACAAAGTGTCTCATTTTTTAAATAAATTATTAGCATTAGTTTTTCTCCTTTTGTTTTTTGTTTTTTAAAGCAACTAGCGAGCTTTCATCCACTGGATAATAGTACACCACTTGAATCAGTGAGAGAGTAGAGAATGATAGTCATTGCACAACCAAAGCTTAACAATTCACCTGTCCGATACACATTAACAGGCTTGTGTTCCAACACAAGCAGCCCACGGGTAATCAGTAACCCTCACCAGTAAACAGGCAGGCGAGAGGATGCTTGTCATCTAACCGTTTGCTCAGTGCAACTTTAAAAATGTAGCCCTTGAGAAGAAGCTCTGAAAAAAAATATAGACACTTCCTTCAAATCTTTCTTAAATCCTGATAGTCCACTACCTACCGAGGTATAGTGTAGAGAGCGATGCAATACGAATTCATTCACAGTCTGACCAAAGTTAAGTTAAATAAGCGCTATATACACAGTCAGGGCTTCAACAGGCGATAAATGAGCCGTTTTTTAGCCTTGAAGAAGCTTCAGTAGGACACTTGACAGGAGCAAGGACAAGATCGCTGTCAGAGGGTGTGGGGGTGGGTTTGGCGACCCAGGGGTTTTCTTTTTTGGCACTTCTTGGTGAAGCTTAGGAGATGGGTGACAGGGATACAGGGCACTGCCCGTTGTTGTTCATGATATCATCCAAGTCTTCATCATCCAGGTCCACTGAGGAGGAAAAAGCAAACAAGCAGTTATTATAATAATCACATATTAGCTACAATTCAGTTCAGTTTTATTTTTATAGTGCCAACTCACAACAACAGTCGCCTCAAGGCGCTTTATATTGTAAGGCAGATCCTACAATAATACATACAGAGAAAAAACAACAAAAATATGACCCCCTATGAACAAGCACTTTGGCGAGAGTGGGAAGGAAAAACTCCCTTTTAACAGGAAGAAACCTCAGGCAGAACCAGGCTCAGAGAGGGGCGGGGCCATCTGCTGTGACCGGTTGCGGTGAGAGGAACAAAACAAGAGATTAGCTACTTAGGCAAAATGAAATTTAAAGGGGCAAGAAGGGTAAGTTCAAATCAAACATTGCTTTTTTTTTTTTTTAATAATTTGACAAAAAGATTGACCACCCTTGTATCTATATGTTAAAAATAAAGCCACTGTGGGTAGCCAGTTAGCTTAGCATAGCATTACCACTGGAAATTGGGGTAAACAGCTAGCTTTCCTCTAAAAACAAACGTTCCTAAAAGCTGTTTGACACAGGGTTACATGCTAGCCATTTCCACTAAGCTATGTTTTCTGCTTTTTATCTTAGCCAGGCTAAGCTACAGTCACGCTGTATTAAAGACGTAAGAGTGATGTCACTTTCTTTATCTAACTAGTTACTTCTCTGTAACACCTAATTTTCCATTTACAGATATCACGGTGAATGCCACAATCAGTGTATCGCTGCACGCCTACTTGTGGGTTATTTTTTTTCTATAGTGGCTTGATTTTGTTTCAGTTCAGTTCAATTCAATTTTATTTATATAGCGCCAAATCACAACAAAAGTCGCCTCAAGGCGGAGTTTCAATGGAGTTTGATTTGTCTTTACTTAATTCTTTAATTGTAACCTTGCTTATGTCTGCCCATTGACTTGTTCTGCATTATCTATGAGACATCTTTATTTGTATACATCACTGCTGACTGAAACACACATACAAATATAATAGCAACATTTTATCCACCTTATAAATATTTATGACTAATCCAATACAGTTCAACAGCCAATGAGGAGCTCTGACATATCTACTGCTACTGTTATGTTTTATTACATATGTGCATAGAACAAATGCATGTGCTGCCTGCTATACTGTCATTGTGTAATTGTAAACTGTGTAGGTGGGGTCATCACTTCATACTTCTATATGGAGCCTCACCTTTCTTGGACCGACCGATCTGGCCTAGTTTGGGTGCCCTCTGTCCGAGTCTCTGAGGGTTGGGCCCGCCACCGTGGCCGTTGACCTGGGGGTGTCCCGGGTTGAACTGCCCCGCCGGGCCGGGCTGCCTGGGCGGCCCGCTGGGCGGGATGAGCTCGGGGATACCTGAAGCACCGTACATCTCTGGGAGGCGTCCTTTAGTGTCTGACCGCTAGATGTCCGCACAGCCCAAGCTTTGTGTCGTGATGGAAAGCTTCGCACTTCCGCAATGGTATTAACCGATGAATGTATGGGCAATAGACGACTAAATACTGGAAATTACAGAAGGGAAGTCCGTCAAACCTGTCAACCAAAGTGAACACGTTTGTCAAAAAACGCGAGTGAGAGAGCGAAAAGCTCTGCCAGTTGTCTCCCAACACTTCTCGGCTGTTTACACTACAATAAGCCGTGTACTCGTACGTGTTTTCAGTTGTATTACTACTATCAGGTGTAGCAGCTCCCTTCCTGCCCACTACAACAACACAGCGACACAAAGCGTGTCTTCGGTCATTCTACTCGCTATAGTCAGAATAAGAAAAGCTTTTCCACCCGTCTCTAAACAACAGTAACTCAGCGGTTTTTCTACAATACGCTTAAAATATGACTAAATATAAAAATACGGCCTCACCTTCGTTTCTTTGAGGCCGCAGTAAAGAGCTGAATTCGGTAAAAGCCGCTTCTGAGAACCGTGTTGTTGTTTATCAGCGCTGTTTCTCTCTCTCCCTCTGTTGGCACGGCGTTGAGGAAGCGTCGATTTAAAGGGGCCTCTCAGCGTTTTCTCGGCCTTGGGGATTTCCTCGTATTGTGTCTTGACTCATAGCGTCTTGCGGACGTCACCGTGCGGTTGACAGCGCTGAACTTCAGATTATACAGTGGAGGTGTGCCAAAGTTCCGAGGGCTCAAAGCGTAATTACGCACCTCTTGTAATGAGAGAGTGACTCTAGAGCCAACCAATGACGGACGGTGTTCAATAACACCCCTCCCCCCCTCCACCCACCCCATACACACCACATAGAATGCTTCATGTCGGGTACTTCACGTCAACCCCCTCTTCCAGAGACTTTCATTTCATTTTATATGGGGAACATGAATGTGTTTACAGGAAGTTGTTATTTACCACAAAAGTACACAACTTTTTGTCCGCTTTGACACTTTGTTCTTTTTTCAGGTTACTGCAGTATGCTGTGGCCTTGAGTCAGTGCCCCTGGCAA